TTGTTACTACTAGTAAGGCACTTGCTCCTAGTAGCGATGCACTTGTTTCTAATAGCTTCTTGTTACTACTAGTAAGGCACTTGAGAGCATCCAGAGCTTACTGGGAGACAAGTGGGAGACAAGGGTGAAATCATGCGGCCAGGAACACAAGCCCGGAGACAAACTCAAAATCATCCGGCCTGAGCATGCACCCCTTTAAAAGGAGTAAGAACCCCTCACAGGTAAACCTGTTTGGGGAAAAATCACACACTCTATGGATAGCTTTAGAAGAGCGAATGGGAGTTGCCCAGTGAGTGACCCAGCAACTTTGCTTTTGTTGATGTCTTTGTTCGACTTGTTCTATCGTGTTTTCACTTCTATCCTAATACCAGAACCACGTGGATAACGGCTAGGTTGCAGGCCTTTCCAACTCTCACGCGAGCTGTGCATCGCATCGACCCGCGCCTGGAAGGCGGCTGGGAATGCAATCAACGTTGGGCCCTCGAAGTTCGGCGGTCCGCCAGGCCCATGCCGACCTGCGGCAGTGACTGCAGGTAGTTGTGATTTAAAGAAATAGCAAGTGGTTGTCCACTTCCATGTTAGTTAGAACAAGTCGAACAAAGATATCAACAAAAGAACCCCAGAGAAGACAAAAGAAACCCGGTGGTTCTATATTACCTCTCTCTCTGTCTTTTTCTGTTGCTTCCACTTCAATGCTTGTTCCATATATCTTCACACACCTTCCACCCACACCCCACCCAGATGTGAACACTTCGACATCTCCCCACTCACGCGCCACTCCTGCTGGCAGACGTACATGTTGCTCTGATTCTGTGGCACGGAGGGCATGGAGGGCATGGGAGTCATCAATCGAGCCCCAACAGCTGCGTTCGCAAAAAAAGTGCGTTTGGGTGAAGCAAGGGCCTTACTACTAGGAACAAGAAGCTACCTGGCATCGCTACTAGGAGCAAGGGCCTTATTGGTGATCTCCAGACACCAGAGGGACAGGCAGCCCTTTGGAAGATCATTGAAGAACGACGACCCAGACACATCTGGGCTTCACCAGATTGCAAATACTGGGGAAACTTTGCACGAAGGAACATGGGAAAAAGCAAACAACTGAGAAGGACAAACCTGGAAGGAAGAAACCGGGAAAGAACCAACCTGAGCCTGTGTGAGGAAATCTACTTGTATCAGATGCAATGTGGGGGTCATTTTCATTTGGAACAACCTGTAGGCTCGGAGGTGCTAGTACAACCGGAGTTGGAACAGGTTCGATTGGGAACCCTGACAACCATTTTTGACATGTGTGAGGTAGGACGACTCAACTGGAAAGGAGAATCGTTGAGAAAGAGGACAACGATTCTGACGACCTCCCGACAAATGCATGCAAAATTGGACAGCAGGTATTGTAGCAAAGATCATGAACATAGACAGATTGCAGGTCAGGTGAAGTCTGATGGCATCTGGATGCCTCTCTCGAGCTTTGCTGCAAAATACACTGCAGGCTTTGCTAGACATATCCTCAGCGTTGTACAGAATCATCCCGAAGAGATGCCTCTCTACAGGGAGGAACTGAACATTTGTCATGACGGTATGGACGTAGATCCCGTGTTGATTGGTGAAGTGTTGAAGAGACGCCGATTGTTTGCAAAACAAACCCAGTCTTCAGACGATCAACCTTCCCAGGAAGAAGAATTGAAACGAAAGGAAAACCGTCGACACAGGTTACAGATGCTTTTTGAAGAAATTGAGAAGTTGGCACCCCGGGTAGGTTCAGTGGTTCTTCAACCAAGAATCAGCCGAGTTCCAACAAGCCAAAGAATTTTGTGAGTTTCGTTTGATTCATGCTGAAATCTGCAGGGGGACAGAGAGATTTCGGGTACCCAAGACTTCAACACCTTTGGAAAACCTTGATTTTCGGAAAACCTATTCAGTGTGTAGGAAATCAGGTGAGGTAGAACAGGTTGGTGGTGTGGAAGAATAGAAGAAATTGTCTCAACGACAAAAGATCAGGAAGGGGATCCCAGCAAAATTGACGTTGACGTTGTTTGGAAATAGACCTGAGGACCCATTGGACAGACAATCTGCAGATGACTCGAAGACATCGAAACTCGCAGTTCGCAAACGACAGTGCATCCATGAAGAAAACGGACAGAACAAACGTCAGTGTGAAACACATGGTAGTGAACAAAACATGGACGGAATGACCACCCCTGAAACTCATTGAAGGAAAGCCTCCCCGAAATTTAGCACGACATGGACCAGGGTTTTTGAGTTTGGAAAAAGATCTAGGACGCTACTAGAAACAAGGCGGTGACTCATATCTCATGCACCGGGTCATTTCCAGGTGGTTGTGGAGCTCGTCAGACTCGACTGTAAGCAAAATCCGCGCAACTGTTTTCATCCACACTCCCACTGAACGGCGGCTTTCCCATGTTTGCTGCGACATCCACCCTTTACTGATCATTTCCAGGGTCTCATAGTAGAAGTTCTCCAATGGGTACGTCACGTCGCACAAAATGTGGGCAGCATGCTTCACAGATCTATCAGCCATGAAGCCAGCGACACTCTTTGTTGGACCTTTGTTCTTGAAAAGACTGTAAAACTCTGTCCGGTTCCTTGGCTGAACCTCGTCCTCCTCCCCCGCCTCTGCTTCCTGGTTGCCCTCGTCCGGTTCATTTTCCTCAGAAACAACTGGTGAAGCATAGAGAAGCTCGAGAAACAGGACTGTTTTCTTTAATGTGATTCCGTTGTATTCCTGTGTGAATAAAGTACAGGTTAAACAGTCGCCGAAAAGAAGACTCTGTATGTGTGTGTCCCTGGTTTGTGATATTTTTTAAAACTAACACGAGACTGACAATGCTTCGTCACTCGTCACGTCAAGCAAACAAAAGCTTGGTTGTCTTAAGGCACGCCTCCACTGACCTCTCTAGGGCAAGCAGTGCCTGCTGCTGAAGCGTCCAATCATACAGCAGGTCTCGCAAGGCTGCTTGCAACCCAAACCAAGATTTGTTCTTCACCTTGGCTGAACAACTAAGTCGGATTCCAAGGCAGAACCATTCAGTAACGTTTGTGCCGGGTTCTCTGAACAATTGATTGAAACTGCCCAATAAATATGAGAGTCTGGGCAAGTTGGTGGTTACGTAGACCAATACCGTCCCTCTTGCAAGGCTTGCTTGTGATTCTCTTGTTTTGTGAACATTGGCTTGATGTTTTGTGTTGTGGGCAGAACACGGACAACATCGGAGTTCTTCAATTATCGAGCAACTGTGAATTATATAAGACAGTTTGATCAATCAGGCATTTCACATAGGCTCCCCTGTTCTTCAACGCGCGGGAGTCCAGCCAGTCTTTCATCAGCTCCACTGCCGTCATACCCATCAGCACATCGGCATGCTCGCCGCGGTCAGCAGCAACAGACTCCAAAAAGTTGTTGAAGAAGTCTCCCCCTTCAGCTGCTTCTGACTCCAAGTAACTCTCAAAGCAATCACGTTTTGCTTCCAACTTATCTCCAGATTTGTAGGCTCCATGGTCAAAATTACCTCAGGTATTAAAATCAATGTTTTGGTGACCGTTACGAAATGTAGGCTAGGTCAAAACCCATGTTCGTTGGTAGCGACTGGTTGATACCGTAGTGGGTTTGCTTCAAAGGGGTTTACATGGTATAACTACTGAATGCCAAAAGAAGTAAGCCTGCTGAGACCCAGAGCAGGGGACAACCCTTCAAACCCAACTGTGCGGATGATTAATTATAGTTGCTTTTTTTGCAAAAATCATAGACTTAGTGTGCAAACAGTAACGCTAACGCTACACTACTATTTTCGGTTCAATGCTAAGGCTAGTAATATCATGTATTAATATCTAAATATATATATATA